AGCCTCCTGAGTAGCTGGGATTACAGGCACGTGCCACCATGCCCAGCTAATGTTTTGTATTTTTAGTAGAGACGGGGTTTCACCATGTTGACCAGTATGGTCTCGATCTCTTGACCTCGTGATCCACCCGCCTCGGCCTCCCAAAGTGCTGGGATTATAGGCGTGAGCCACCGCACCCGGCCTAACTCTTAAACTTCTTACAAAAAAAGATTATTCTTTTTTGTTTGTTTGTTTTTTTTGAGATGGAGTTTCGCTCTTGTTGGCCAGGCTGGAGTGCAGTGGTGTGATGATCTCTGCTCACTGCAACCTCCACCTCCTAGGTTCAAGCGATTCTCCTGCCTCAGCCTCCCGAGTCACTGGGATTACAGGTGCCCGCCACCACGCCCAGCTAATTTTTGTCACTTTTAGTAGACATGGGGTTTTGCCATGTTGGCCAGGCTGGTCTCAAATTCCTGACCTCAGGTGATCCACCCGCCTCGGCCTCCCAAAGTGTTGGGATTACAGGCGTAAGCCACTGCACCTGGCCAAAGAAAGATTATTCTAATAAAGAATGGCATACTAATTCTCAGTAAACCTCCAAGCTAAATGAAAAATAAATAGGGAAAAAAGTAAGAAATGGTATGTAGTTTAATCTTTCTTCTAAAAGTTTTGCTATTAGCAGGCTCATCTGGCAGATTTCATATCCCTCTAATTCCTTATTTACATTTTTCAATTATTTTTAGTACCCAGAAATAAGAGCATTTCTAAGTGTTCAAAGTGATTAATAATTTTACTTCAAGTTTCTTTGACTTTCCCAAGCACTTCATAAAATTAAAACTGCTCCATAGGCCAGGCGCGGTGTCTCATGCCTATAAGCCCAGCACTTTGGGAGGCCGAGGTGGGTGGATCATGAGGTCAAGAGATGGAGACCATCCTGGCCAACATGGTGAAACCCTGTCTCTACTAAAAATACAAAAATTAGCTGGGCTTGGTGGCATGCACCTGTGGTCCCAGCTACTCAGGAGGCTGAGGCAGGAGAATTGCTTGAACCTGGGAGGTAGAGATTGCAGTGAGTCAAGGCTGCACCACTGCCCTCCAGCCTGGGTGACACAGCGAGACTCCATCTTAAAAAACAATAAAAACAACAACAAAACTGCTCCAAAGGCAACCCTGAAGACGCAGTGTAAATTCATGGACTCATCCCAGTCTTCTCTTTATAGTATAGTGATGGAGCGACAAATGGAAAAGGCTATAAATCAAAAAACATCAATCTTTGGAGGGACAGGCTAACTGATTACACAAAGACTTTATAGCACAAGATGTAGAAATGACAAAAATTGAGGCGGTTAATTTAGGATAGAAAAGCAACCAGGCAACTCAGTCAGAGGAACTCTCACCCTCTGCTTTTGCTCTTCCGTGCGAACATCACTCCGGACATTTGCCCAGGGGATATCTTCAGGCCACCAGATGGGCTTGCAGCTTTCTTTCCCCCAGCCTGGTTTTCCCCGACCTGTGGAGTACTTGAGCATCTCTGGGATAAATGCCCGAAGCTGAGCCTGGAAGAGAACAGTATGGTCATCAGTACTCACGAAAGATATCTGGGGTGTGTTTATGACTCCTTAAATTCTAACCTTAAACAACAGAGAGGTTTCCAGGAAGGTCCTAGAGAATTCTGAGATATGAATGATGAAAACCCACTGTTTTCCATAGGCTCCTATAGCTCTATAGGTGGTTGAGAATTATAAATATGTTGGTAAAGTGCACCTTAGGCTGCATTTTGTAGACTTTTTCCTGTAAGAGTAAGAATATCTGACCCTAAGTTTAATTTTTAATTTCTGCTTCCCAAGATATTATTGGTACTATAGCTCATTTCCCTTCTACAGTTTCCATGCATCTTGTAAGGTGCCAAGCTCAGGGTGTTTTCAGCACTGTTCTGGAAGTAGGAATCAACGCAATTAGATAAGAGAGCAATAAGAGCTGAGCAGATAAAATCATCATTATTTATAGGTGAAGTCACCTTATGTCTAGAGAATCTCAAAAAATCAAATGAAAACCTACCATAAACAATAAGAGAATTCAGTAAGGTGGTTGATTATAAAATATATGAAAATAAACAGACCTTTAACTTTAAAAAAAAAATGGAAAATAACCCTAAAACTCTTCTAGAAAGTTTCTAGTAAGCTAAGCCATTGTCCACGAGTCTGACATATAGATAGAGTAAAGCATGTGCAAATTTAAATGCATTATTGACTTCATTCAGATTTATTTTACAAATCAAATCCAGACCAAACAGGCTTTAAACCACAAAGACTGCCATTCTTACTTCCTGGCATAGTAACCACACTGCGTGTGTGTTGGGGGTCGGTCTACTTTGTGAATATTCTTAATCGCTGATAATGATTTTTGGCAAGAAAAGCAGTTTATCAAGTTATGATCTGTGCCTCTTTCCCAGACCTCCTGCTTTCCTTTTAACCTGGTGGTCTACAGCACCCCAGAGATAAGTAGCATCCTGCAACGAAGGATGCATCTACACTGCCCCTGCAGCTGAAAACCAAAGAGGCCACTTTCAGCAATGAGTCACACTTAGGGATGTGGATTTGTAGTTATAAAGTAAAACAAGAAAAAAACAGAAATGGGAATACTTAAAGTATTAATGAGAGAATGAGTATACCAACATTATAATATTAAAGATTTCTGTAAATATCAGGTGTTCGTATAAATCTTATTATAATAAATATTAGATATTATTTTGCCAGATATGTTACAAATTGTTATATAGTAGGGAACCATGAACCCAATCAGTAATATTTACCTAATGAAGTTCTGGCTGATGGTAGTCATGCTGTTAATTCCTGTGCCAAGCCTGCCACTTCACCTCTCTTTCTAAGTCCCCCAATGCCCCGACAGTCTCCTGCCTACAGGATATGATATAATATACTCCATATATATTTGGCTCTGGCATCAAGCAGCAGGCTGATAGAAACATATCCATTTGCAAACCCATCAGCTGGCTGGCTCATGCGGTCATTACTTCAGTTATTTTAAGAAAGTACACCTCAAAGTCATTTTTCCCTTTATCCTGATTTCTTGGGAGTGTGTCTTTTTCTAGCCTCAGATACACAAAGCAGGAAAGGGCTTACTCCTCACACAATATTGTATATTAATTCATGTTAAGAAAATGGCTTTCTGAGAGGTATAGATGAAACAAACTGACATAGACTTTCATAAACTCCTTTTTATTTGAATACCATTAACAGTTTCCAAAAAGGAGAATCTGTTATATTCATACCTAGGAGAATCTGGAGAAAATGAAATTAGGAGGCTAAATAATTCTAAATTAACAAAATCCTAAAGTGGGTTGGATACAGTGGTTCACACCTGTAATCCCTGTACCTTGGGAGGCTCAGGTAGGCAGATCGCTTGAGCCCAGGAGTTTGAGAACAGCTTGGGCAACACAGTGAGACTCTGTCTCCACCGAAAATACAAAACTCAGTCAGCTACAGTGGCACATGCCTGTAGTCCCAGCTACTCGAGAGGCTGAGGCAGGAGGATCGCTTGAGCCCAGAAGGTCAAGGCTACAGTGAGCCGTGAAACAAAAATCCTAAAGGGGGTAGTAGAGAAAGACCCTGTCTTCAACCAACCAACCAAAAATCCTAAAGTGGTCAGAAAGCACTCCCTGTGGAGAATACTAGCCTGACACAGTCTGCTCAGATCCACCTGGAATCCTGTATATTCCGTAATTCTGGTAATCACTTCACTTCTGACGCCTCACCCTATTTGCACCAACAGTTCCTTATACTCCTCCGTTCTGGGTCACGCTGGCACCTGGACGTGGACACCTTTCATCCTCAGTTTGGCTTTGGCTCTCCCACCCAGTCTTCCAACTGACTTCTAGTAACTCACTGTTACTTGAAAGGTGGGCTCAGCATCAGCCTCCTCACTTAAACCGCTACCCTACCCTCTTTGCAATCTACTTGTCTTCTCAACCTTTTTATCTTAGCAACTAGAAAACCACCCTTTCCCCAGACAAACTTAAAATGTCAGTTATCTTTATTTCTCTCCTTCAACACTTATCTAGTCATGCACTGCAAGTCCAATTCTTTTATTTTCTTTGAAATGTCTCTGGTGTCTATCCCTTCTTCTCCAGCCTCACCTTGATTCTAACTTTCTAGCCCAAAGCTAGTGTACCGTTCTAGTTGGCTTTCTTGGGGACTCCAAGTTCTCCCTTCACTCCCTCTTCCCACATATCCTTGCCAGACAGGTTTTCCTAAATGTTACCTACAGAGCTCCAATGCTCAAAACACCTTCAAATTGGAAACTAAACTAGATCCTTCTGCCCAGCTTTTCAGACCCTCCACAACCTGGTCTCATACTACAGTCAGTTCCCGTGAATTTTCACCATGCAGCCTTGGTCCTCCATCAGACAAGTCTCTGCACTGTCTGGTGGACTGCTAAGCCCATTCCTGCTTCTCTGCCTTTGGTCTGTCCCCTTGTTGGACTACTTTCCATGCTCCTATTCCATTCTTTAGTGCCCAGCAAGTCCTACATTCTTTGTGGAACAAATACTAAGTATTCTTTCTCTCTTTTTTTTCCTCTCTCTCTCTCAATGATATCTTGCTCTGTGACCCAGGCTGGAATGCAGTGGCATAATTACAGCTCAATGCAGCCTCAACCTCCAGGGCTCAAGGGATCCTCTGGCTTCAGGCTTCAGTAGCTGGGACTAAAGGCATGTGCCACCATGCCCAGCTATTGTTTTTTTTTTTTTTTTCCTTTTTTGTAGAGAAGGGGGTCTTCCTATGTTGCCCAGGCTGGTCTCAAACTGCTGGCCTGAAGCGATCCTCCTGCCTTGACCTCCCAAAGTGCTGGGATTTCAGGTGTGAGTCTTTGCACTCAGCCTCACTTCTCTAAAGTTAGCACTTTCTATCAAAAAGAATACCAGGGCTGGGCTCAGTGGCTCACACCTGTAACCCCGGCACTTTGGGAGGCCGAGGCAGGTGGATCACCTGAGGTCAGGAATTTGAGACCAGCCTGGCCAACATGGTGAAACCCCCTCTCTACAGAAAATACAAAAATTAGCCGGGCGTGGTGGCACACACCTGTAATCCCAGCTACTTGGGAGGCTGAGGCAGGAGAATTGCTTGAACCCAGGAGGCGGAGGTTGCAGTGAGCTATGATCGCTCAACTACACTACAGCCTGGGTAACAGAGCAAGACTCTATCTCAAAACAGCAGCAACAACAACAACAAAGACCACAAGACTCAGAGTTGGCTCTGAATCCCAATTATCTCTGAATCTTAATTTAAAAAATATTAAAATGTAATGATATTAAAAATAGTAATAGCAAATATACAAGGTCAATTAAGAGGCTGAGATAGCATGTATATTAATAGCAGTTTTATTACTACCTCAGCCATCAAGCCATCTTTTTTCAGTAACTTCTACAGCATTCATAACTTTTGTTCTAAAATGTAGAGGTTAATTTGTTATAAAATTAGGTGCATTATAGCTCTTTGGCAACTGATTGATAATTCTGATTTTATAATAAGAAAAAACTGTTCTTTTTTTTTTTTTTAAAGTAGATGCTTTAAGCATCCTCTCTCCAAATCTATTAAATAAAACTACTGTAAATGTAAAACAAATGAGGATTCAGAAACATCACGGCTTTAATCCAGCACAGTTTTAATCCTTAATCTGCTATAGGTTGAGCATCCCTAATCTGAAGATCCGAAATCTGGAATGTTTTGAATGTCACATTTGGAAAATCCCACCCATGACCTCAAGTGATGGGTCATAGTCAAAACACTGTCAAAACTTTATTTCATGCACCATATGAAATTATCATCAGGCTATAGTGTATAAGGTGTATATAAAACACAAACTTTGTTTAGGTCGTGGTCCTATCCCCAAGATATCTCACTAAGTATATGCAAATGTTAAAAAAAATCCAAAAATATATGAAATCTAATGTACTTCTGGTCCCAAACATTTCAGACAGGGGGTACTCAATCTATATGAAGTTTTTATCAAAGTCAAAATATGACCATTTGCCAAAAAGAAATATTTCAAAGATAAACGACATTTTACTTTTAAATCAGGGAAAATAGGGAATTTAGTCTCCCAATGAAAAGAAACAGCAAGCTTTCTGAAGTGATTTACTAATACTGAACACACTAATGTACATAAAGACATGAATCCTTAGCTTTCAAGGATGAGTGTAGTGGAAAAAAGCAGAAGGTAGCATGTATCTATCTGTGCAAACAAGGTTGAGGATGAGAAATAAAGGGTGCTGGAACCAAGAAGGAACAACTTGACCATTTGGACCAATTATTGCTTTGAAGCAAGCAAGCTACTACCAACCCACCCACAATGTACAGGAAGTTTAGGTGACTTATTCTGCTGGGTCCTCGAGCATTAAAAATATGTATTAATACAAGCAGCTCCCTCTTGCACATGTGCTCTTTCTCTCCCCGCAATTGAAAAAAAAGGGGGGAAATGTATAAGCAGATTACTAATGGAACATGTCAGAAAATGTGACTCAAGGGTAACCATAATTAAA